GAGAGAGAGAGAGAGAGAGAAAGCGAGAAATCACCCCCCCATGGGGGATGGCCACGCGGCAATCCCTTCTCCTCCATTCTCCTCTCGGGATCTTGAGCACGCACGCACACGCGCCCGGCGTGAGTTTAAGCCACCGGGTCCGGGATGCGAACAGCGGTCAACTACATGGGAGTCCAGCGACATAGCCATTACGCTAACTGCTGGTCCCCGAACGGCACTCCTTAGTGTTGGGCAGTGCATGACCCGACAGAGGTCCATGTGCAAATGCATCTGTGGGATAAATCCTGGGCCACGAAGTGCATGTGCAGCAGCCGCTCCGAAGGCAGGCAGTACCGCTCTGAATGCCAGCGCCGGCGCTGGCTGCACTGGAACACCTTGCGTCGCTTAACAAACTATTGAGCACCTACTGGGTACAGGGGAGTGGTTTCATCCTCCACCAGACACCACCCAGGCTTATACCTTATTCTAGAAGCAACCTAGTAAGAAAAGTGCCACTTAGATTTAACTGGCTTTGATTGGCTTAGCTATGGCCACGCCCCATTTCTGAACCAATCGTTGTGACTAGGAAAGTGGCAGATGGAATAATCTCATTGGCTAGACCGGAGATGGGCGGGGTCCTCACAGAGAAAAATCCTCAAGAACTATCCAGTGAAAGTAAAGAAAAGTGGTTCACGGAGTCAGTAGGTGGCATGGCGGTTAAGGGACTGGACTCCCACAAAGCTAATGGTGGCTCGAGTCCTGGACCTGGCAGCTTGCTTTCTCATTGTTTCTCTCTGGTGAATGCATGCACCCTATAGCATATTAAAAAAAAATGATACATCATAATAAATAAAATTAAATAAATAATTCTTAAAGAGAGAGAGAAAAAAAAGAGAAGTGGTTCATGTTTGAGGCAACAGATCCCCACTTCTTTTGTCCAACCCTTCTTCAAAAATCTGCTGGACTCTGCATGGGGTGAGTGACACTGGTAGAAAGGAGCTGGGGAATGGAAATAGAGTTGCTTTCCGTGTTTGAGTTGATGTAGGCTGTGGGCGGCTGCGGAAGCTGTGAGACAGGACAGGAGGTGAGACTGGAACCCAAACACCCACCCAGGTGCAGCAGGGAGACGTGAATGCAGCAGGCTGTGAGAATGGGGCTCTTCCTCCTTCCTGTCTGGCTGATGCTCCGAAGGCCAAGAGCAACCCCTTGGATAGGGAGCACACCTTCCTTCACCTATGCAGGAACTGCGAAGGAGATGGTAACAAAAAAATAAAAAAAATAAAACCAAATGGTTTTGAGATCCTCAGCCCTGCGCCGAGAGGATGGGTTTAAGGGAGACTTTCTCTGGAGAATCTGCTTTGGATGCCATGGCTCATCCTTGCCACCAGCTCCCCAGACTCCATGGTGGACAGAAAGATGTTCTGGATCTTCACCCAAAGCCAGTCAGAGAGCCCGGGGCACCACCTGGAGAGTCTCCCCTGTGTCTCCTGGACAGACCAGTGCCAGACCCCGGCCTGGAGAAGCCAAGGAACTAGAGCTGTCATTTCTCTGTCTCTGCAGGCCAGTGGGGTGCCCAGCAGTAAGCTCCAGAGCAGTCGGAGGAGTCATTTCTTCCAGGGGCTGGCTCTGCATCCCCCCAAAACAGCTCTAAGGTCACTGGGGACTACCTGGAAATGTGAGGCTTCCCAGTGGGGGGTGGCTGGACCATGAGACCCAGCATCTGTGGACAAGCTCAGAAGTAGCCAGCCAGAGATGACTGCTCTTCTCCTGCATCCCAAGAAGCGGGGTCCAAGATTCCCAACGGGAGAATTGCCAAGGTCTTGCATCCCCTCCCCTGCACACACAACCGTAGGGAATCAACTGGTCCCCAGGTCCCGGCAACAGAAAGCATGATGCCTTGTCAAACAGTGCCAGCCCGGTGAAGGCTTTCCTGCCCTTAGCTCCTCCAAGCCCCGTGGGGAGAAGAATTAGAGTAAGGAGGGGGAGACGTAATGCGTATGAAGTCTGGCGCTTCACCTTGAGTCGACACCTCAATGACCTATTTTAGACTGTCGTTACGCTTTATTCTGATCCTCACCATAGATCTTTTCTTATCATTAACTCAAACTGAGCAGGAGGGCAAGAGACCATGCAGATAAAGAACTACCCCCTTGGGAGTTTGGATGGGGAGCAGGAGGGGGAAGGAGAGTGACCGGCACCCCCTCTGGCTCCCGCTCGGAATGTGCCCGGATGCGAAAGCCCGTGAACACCTGCATCTGCACAGGAGCAGCCATGGCAAGGTGGGGGTGGTGGTGGGGTCTTGGGACGTCGCGTGGGGGAAAGCTTCAAGTCAGGTTATAGAAAGGGTGACACCGGAAGGCCGGAGATCTCAGATGCTAACGTGAGTTCACATGACGATTGTCGTCAAAACTGCCCCCACGGGGCGTCAGAAGAGTTAGTGCGGCCATTGCTGCTGCCGTGTGAGAGAGCACGGAAGGGGCGGCTCAGATCTGAGGACGCTGGCGGAGAGAGCAGTGAACAGGACGAGCAGGTGGGGTAGCCGCGACGGTTATGGTGCTGGCTCCCACGTGACCGACCCCGGTTGGAATACTGAACCCAGTGGCTGAAAATCAGGTCAGGGAACCAGCAGTTAGCGTAATGGCTATGTCGCTGGACTCCCACATAGTCGACCGTGGTTCACGTCCCGGACCCGGTAGCTTAAAACTCACGCCGGGCGCGTGTGCATGCGTGCTCAAGATCCCGAGAGGAGAATGGAGGAGAAGGGATTGTGGCATGACCATCCCCCCTGGGGGGTGATTTCTCGCTTTCTGTCTCTATGTCTCTCT